TACCTATTCAGCACTGCCTAGGCGGGTGCCCAGGAACTAGGACCCACGGGTGCCCAGGAACTAGGACCCAAAAGCGCTCAGGCCTAGGGTCTTTGGGCGTCGTGGCACTAGTCAAGGTGTTTTTTGGAACAATGCTATCCAGCTTGCTTGAACCCATCCTTATAGAAGCCCTTTCCTGGCTGAGGGAATTACAGGCAACCAAAAAACCCGGGAAATCGTAGGAACTTGAACTAAACCCCTTCTAGGACCATCCCATGCCAACATCCTAAATTTCGCCTTACCGAAAATTCATTTTCAAGCCTAGAAATACCGCGCTATACTCCTCTCCATGCATGCCTAATTCAAACACCATATCCCCTCTCCATGCACCATACTTCATAAAAACTCACTTCATGCAATGACAAACTGAACTAGTTAAACTCTTAAGCCCCGTACTTAAACTTCGCAAAACAAGCTTCGAAAATATCACAGTTGCTCAATTACTTTCGTGGTCTTTTTTTTTTTTAGTAACTCAATTACTTTCATGGTTGATTTCAAGGATATCACATTGATAGAGGATTTTATGAAGAAATTCATATAATATAACAGAATGGGGACCATGTTAAATATGAAAATATTAAGAGGATTTCCATGTTAAGACATGGTTATATCATGACAGGTGTTTCAGAAAACTAGGTAATTGAAGATATATACTCATTATTAGACAACCAAAAGATTTCATAGAACATTCCAGAGGTGAAAGACTAAAATTAGATTCTTACCATACCACGACCGCTGATGAGATGGCTAATTTCAAAAAAGGAAAGACATAATGCAATGATTCCATGGAGATCCCTTGCCATGTGTCTTGGAATGTCTCTGTAATACTAACATACAGAACTAACAACAAAAAACTGAGCCAGAAAGACACTGAGGTAGCCACAGCAGCTCCTTTGAAGCCCACAGAAGTTTTATACACCATGAAATATGTCATAGCTACTTCAATAGCCAATGGGATAATGGAGCACAAGACCAAACCTTGTGAAACATTACAGGAAAGCATAAGCATATATTCCTGGAATCAGCCACCTCAAATACAGGGATGCCATTCTTGAAACTGCAGCATCTTGATCAAGCAATACGAGGATTGCCTCAGCATAGAACCATAAAACTGACACCACGATGCAAATGAAAAATGTTGATATGATTGAGGACTGCAAGTAGATTCCTAACATTCTGTATGTTTTTGCTCCATATCCTTGCCCAAAAAGTGCCTGTCTCAAGTGCACCACTCAGACCATCTTCATCCACATAATAGATGTATTCACCAATATACAACAGGAGAGAACAACATTGGGATTGGATAGTAGAAAGAAAGTTAAACAAACTACCACTAGGTTTTGCCTTTTCTTTATATGATTGAGGTGCTTTTTGCAATATTTGCACTTATAAGAATGCTCAAGATGTAACCATGAATAAGTGATAAAAGCAGGCAGAGGACTCACCAAAAGAGCAAAACCAGAGACAAAGGCCCAAGAATTGGCGAGAGTGGAGCCTGCAAGCTCGAGATCACCGAGATGGCCGGCAAACATGACAGGGACGAGGGTCATGGAGTAGACGCACATGTTCGTGACGATCATAGGCACTGCAATGGAAGCCTGCAACTTAGCTTCACTGCGGTCCAGGGACAGATAGGCACACCGGCCATGCTTTTTGGACTGCTCTTCTTCTCGTTCAGAACGGCTCCGTAAAAGTGAATCCTCCATTGCTTCCCAGAAGAGAGACAGAGAGAGCCGGAGCAGTTGAGAGAGAGAGACTATGAAGACCGGGGGTAAGAGCCAGAGACTATTCTTGGCTCATTTCTTACTGCAGAGGGGAACGAGAGATTTATAGAGAGAGTGACGGCTATCGCACGTAGCTGCCTGCTTTAGAGAGAGAAGCAACAAAGACTTTGCGGCTAGAGAGAGAGAGAGTTGGGCCTACACCGGGTCTTGTCTAGAGAGAGATAGGGGGAAAAGGAGGGTGGTGGATTTGAAGAAAAGCGTATATTCTGCGCAAGTGGATTCCGGAAAGAGAAATTTATGTTCAGGCACCAAAAAAACAAAACTGCAAAAATTACGGTATGAGTTTTAATTTTTTTTTTATTTTTTATTTTCTTGATATTGTCCATTGATCCGAGAATGTCATAATAGGACGGATTTTGTATTTTTTTTAAAGTTTAGTTTGCTAGTAGGGCTGCGGCTTAAAATTTAGAATAATATAATAAACGATCCGAGATCTTCATCCTCGAATTGCATATGCTTTTACCTCACACTACATTTGGACAGCGTTGTTTAAATTATATAGCGGTCCGAAGTAAGGTATAAAGAACTTAAACTCAAACTGCATTTAAAGTACATTTGCACTACCTTTACCTTAGAATAGGGACAAGCAATGGTTTAAAAAGTGGAACGGGGACTGGAATTGGGTACCTCAAAAATTGATCTGGATTGGTGAATCGACGATTCGGATCGGGAATAGGCTGAATCAGTCAGATTAAAGCTTCAAAAAAATTTGAAAAAATTATTAACATTTATTATAAATATTATTTTTTAGGAATCCAATAAGAAATGAGCGTAGTACATTATTAACTTTCATTGTTTTCATCAATTTATGAATATTGAGATGTTCTTTTCATGTATGAACTTATTATGTTGACCATTAAAATTACGTCACACAAAATAAATCATAGAATTATCATGGATTAAGTATATAATCATATATGAACTACAATAAAGAGTTGACTAAATCGATGAAAAATTGGCCACTAAAATCTTGAATTCGCAGAAAACCCTAATCCGCTAAAAAAACCCAAATTAT